GCTGATCTTCTTCAGCTAATATTTGCACTTTCTTTCTCCTTTCCAGTTGTCAAAAGCCTATGGCCCTGTGTTCACTGTGTATTTGGGTTTGAGACCCACTGTGGTGTTGCATGGATATGAAGCTGTGAAGGAAGCCCTGATTGATCATGGGGAAGTATTTGCTGGAAGAGGCAGTTTCCCTGTGGGTGATAGAGCTTCTAAAGGACTTGGTAAGTGTGCATGCATGTGAGGTGGCTGAACAATGGTCATGGGGAGGAGGAAAATATAAAAGAGAAAGCCAGGTTGAGCTTGACCATTTCTGTGGGTTCCACTTATCAACTTCCTCTACCTTGCCTGGGATATCCTCCTAGATTCTGCTCTCCCTCATTTAGGAATCATTTTAACTACTGGAAGCAGATGGAAAGTGATGAGGTGCTTCTCAGTCATGACTCTGCAGAATTTTGGGATGGAGAAGAGGAACATTGAGGACCGAGTTCAAGAGGAAGCCCGCTGCCTTGTGGAGGAGTTGAGGAAAACCAAGTGTGAGTGATTCATTATAACACAGTCTCTTTTGCTTTCTGACTTCATCCATGATGTTTTCCAAGGCCAGTATCTAGTAATTATACTAATCTCTTGTTTTACATTATTTGTATATCTCCTGAAAAGTCTCAATAATCAGTCAAGAAATAAGGACAGTTGAGGTAGAACTTAAAGAAAAAGTGAAAATATTCTCTGGAATATTCAAATGGAATCTGAGGCATGGGCAGACCCTAAAATATTTTGTGGGCTTAGGAATCTCTGTAGTAATTTGCACATGTACAGAATTAGGGACCCAAAATCAAGTTAAACTCTGGCATTTAGAGCAATAAAATAGCCACATATTTACTTTCTGTGTTGTATTTCTTTGTGCGTTATAAAAAGTATTAATCTGTTATTTACAATTACTGTAGTAATTTAAGGAAAAGATCTGTGACTATATTTGGAAAAACAGTAAATTAAGAAGCAGAAGCATTTCATTAGATGTTTAATTGCACCAATGAAGATCTGCACAAGAGTCTCAAAAAGTCTAGAAGAAGGGGCATAAAACAACTTGAATATAGCTATATAGAGTTCAGCAGCCACTGAAATACAAATTATTAATGAAAACAAAAGTTTATAGTTTGATGAAATTGGGACACAACCTATGAAATTATGAGAGTTACATGATATGTGGAATACTTTATTTATAAAAAGCTAATTCAAGTACAAGTAAAAAGGACTCAATAGCCAAAAATCTTCTAAGTAATAGTCTTCAAAAATTGCAAATCAGATATTTTATATGTAAGAAGATAGCAAATTTATTTTTTATTACATCTACAAAAAATAGAAAACATATTTTAGATTTAGCTTCAAGGTTCATTGATACTAATAAGCTATTGTCTAGAGGCATAATTGTTTACTTCTTTCACCTGAAAGGGTCCAGTAGTTTTGTATTCATCTTGTACATAAGTCCAATTATGCATGCTTATTACCTTGTGGTGCTTGGTGTATGGAAGCTTACGTCTAGGTTGAGAACACTTCCATTGGCCT